TATATATATATATATATATATATATATATATATATATATATATATAAATAATATTCCTTTAAATTTGACAATAAATTAGCCAAGTTTGGATAGTAGTTCCATGTACAAAACTGTAGAGCAACCATGAGAAATATAGTTTATAAGTTTATTGCATATCAAATCAACCTTTCCAATGAATTTTCCCAGTTTTGACTTCACTTAATGTTTACTGACAACAACAAACATAATTTTTAGTTCTATCCCCAAAAAGTCCTACTTCAATTTCTTTGTAACAGAACTTTCAACTTTAGCCCTCGCTTCAGCATGCCACTCAATAATGTTTGCCATTTTTTAGATTCATTCCATTTTTAAATTAAGCTAAAATGCATATATTCAATGAATTTTTCCCATGAAAATTCACATTGTAAACATGTTATTTTGTTAAGATTGGGGAAATGTATTAAGCACTGTAGAATTTAATAGGTAAAAAAATTATAGTACGTATACACAAGATATGCAAATATGAAGAGAATACACAATTGTTGTGCGGGACTGAAATTTAATAGTGACTGTTAATGAAAGCTTAACTCTGAGCATGTTTTATTTTCAAAAGTGTTATTGAAATGGTAAAATAGACAATAAAGTATTCATTATTTTCACTCCAAAAAAAAACCTTTCTACTTGGATTATTGTAAATCTCATGAACAATCCTTGGTGCCATGAAAATCTGGTAACTCACTTACTGGTGGAAATTTCTGATCCCTATTTCATAAAGTTCTCTGAGGTTGCTTTTCTACAAAATGTTGCACCCTTTACTATTCTTTTTTTTTTTAAAAAAAGCTGCTACATAATCCTCCAGTCACAATTCTGTATGTGGTAGCACTGCACTCTCAAGGATTTGAATCACAATTGAGCCACCAATATATTTTGCCATTGCTACAGTATTATCTAAACCTGACAGGGGTTATTTGATATTTTATAATAGAAGAAAATTGCAATAACTTTCAAACAAAGATAATTTAACATGAAAACATTTTCAGGAACAAAAAGAGCTTTTAAAGAAACTATTAAAAAACTCTTAGATCTGTGTTGTTGTTTTTTACCTAAGTTTCCTACATTTTACACTGAATTCCACTGTTGTTCTGTGCAGGAGCTACATCTAATCACTTTCTGATAAAACCATAACTTACTTCTCATATTACTTTATTCACTTTATATTGAAGTACAGTTTATAATCTGTGCTATCCAATGGTGTTTATACTTTGCATATAGTTATTTTCAAAGTTGTCAGTAATTGTTCCAACTCTTTTATGACCTCATGGAATGTGATGTGAACAGTCTTGTAATAGTAAGGCTTCACACAGAGAAGAAAAATCATAAGAGAAACCATTTTTGGTTAAATGCCTTCTCAGAAAAATTCTAAAAAATGTATTGGTGCACTACTTACAAACGAGACTTCTTGGAACTTTGCAGTAATGTATGTTTGAACCTTTCTCTAAGCATAATACATTCAATAAATGTTACAAGATGTCAAAATATCAATTCTAAAACATTTTTGACTAAACAACTGTTAAAATAAGTTAGAATTATTGATTTTACTTAAATATTGAAATCTGATATGCTGGTGTGCACTAAACAGTTGAAAGGTGCTCAGTGGTTGTGAAAGGATTAAAACAACAGATACCAGAAGCATTGAAGTAAAATAAAAAACAACAAAAAGACATACTTTCGAATGACATCTGCAGCATTTGCCCAAGCTTCTAAAGCATCCTTGTACTGGCCATTTCTGTAAAAAAAGCCTCCCAAGTAAGTATAGGGGTAGACATGGTGGTTAGCATAGTGAGTTTGTGCTGCAAAGATTGCTTGGTGAAACAAGTCAATAGGAGAAGATCTTCCAGGAGTGGGATTAATCTCTTCCAGGTCTCCTAAGTTGCCAATTGCCATTGGATAATTCTTCAAATCTCCCTGGTCATACAGTAACCACAACAGTTTCTGCAATATAAAACAAAAGAGTAATCAGATCTAAGTCTCCTCACAATCAACTGACAGATTGATAAATGTGTACAGGAAAGTAAAATATCTGTTAAAATTACTTTTATATATCTTTAGGATAGAATACTTGGCAATATTAGTCAGCTAAAAATAAAATTTGTCTGGGGTTCTTTTTTGTGCAAAACAACTTAAACATTCTTCATTTTGAGTAGGAACTGATTTATAATTTAAACAAAAAAAATATTAACTGCAATTCTAAAATTCTTTGAGTTAGGTTTAAAAATAATGAAATTCTATGCTAACAAGTATCATAACACTATCAGCTTTTTCACATGGATATTTAATAAATAAAAACTGAAATTCTTAAATGTTTGATTAGTAATTTGCAAAATACCATGATAATTCTGAGCTTAACATGTTTTTACATTTTGTCAGCTGTTTGAAAATTGAAAAAAATTTTGCAAGAGTCTATCATTTTGTCAATTTCTATTTTAAGCTTTATGAGTTGAAAACATGAGCTCAGTCTTAGCTAGTCAGAAAAAAATAATGTAACAGTACTTCTTGGTCTTTGAAAAGACAAGTCACCATTGGCCTGTATATTTGATAATGAAACAGAAATTGAATGAAGTATCATGCAACCAAATAAAATAAAAGCTTAGTCTGAAAAAAATACACAGGGGCATAACAGTTTGAATTTTTCTTACCAATTACTGTCATGTTTGAACTGATTTGACTTAGAGTCAATGATTTTATGAATTTTAAGAACTACTGATGTCACATCATAGAGCCAACATTGATCACAGGATTAATTAAACCCATATTTTCCTTTGTGTTGAGGTCTTTCATTTCAAAATATTCAATCCAAGGGAACTTCCTGATGATTTAAATTGTTTGTAAAAATTTGGGAGCGAAAACTTGGAACTCCTTCTGTCTTACTAAAGTACCATAAAAGTTGATACCTTAAACGGGAATGAAAGCAGAAGAAAGCTGTCATTAATTCTATGAAAGTCAAGACACGAATGGGATGGATTTAAGTTGAGCATGTACTACAAAAAAAAGTTGTGAATATTAAAAAATACAGACACTAAAATAGTTGCAGTCAAGAATCCAGGAAACCTAAGATTGAGGAACTACAAAATGATTGTAGAAGTTTCACCCCTCAAAAGTTATGGCATGTTTTGCCCAAAGAGTTGTACTCATCCATGATGTTCCTTCCCCAAATGTTGATCATTTTCTTTGCCAGTGTCACTCAAGTTGAAAGGTTGATCTCTAAAATGAAATTGATCAAAATATGATTAAGAAATCAACTTTCTTTAGTACACCTTGATCACTTACGTATTGTAACAAAGCCCAAAGGAAGAATTTACCAATGACACTCTAGAATACTTCATGGTTGATCTTAAAAGAAATCCTAAGATGAGAATAGAACTTTAATATGAAGTTATTTTGTAAGATTCAATACTTTTAAGATAGAAAGTTTTAACCCATTCACTACAGCTGAGCCGTATATTTCCCAGAGTTCCCATCCCCTCCTCACACTGCAACTGGGACAAATGTTTCCCATTGTCGATGCCATTTACACCTTCCTCTGCTTGGTCCAGGTTCATCATCACTAGATGAAGAGCTAGCATCCTCTTATCTCATTGCCTCTTCATCCTCACACATTTGAACACCACTTAGCTCACTTTCACTATTTTCTAAGCTATCTGAGTCAAGTGCATCAAGTATATTTACATAGAAATTAGGGTTCCTACTCGCCACACTAGCAATGCAGTTGATGTACATTCTGCTTGAACATCTTGTTGGTTAATGAAGAACTGAGTGGTAAACACTGAGGGAAACCATATTTCAACATTAGTTGAGATGTCAATAAATACTTTCCAACTCATTTTACTCTCGTAAGTCATGTGCGGCAATTTGGAATGACAATAAGAAACATTAGTCCCAATCACAACGTAAGGGGGTGGGAGCTGCAGTGAAAGTGTTAAAGATTGAAAATTGTTTGATCTATTACATATACTTTAACAAAAGTATCTTTTGTTTTGTTCTCAGCGTGTACTTGTGTTCTCTTTTGTATTAAGTGTTTAGTTCACTTTTACACTGTCTAGTTTAATTTGATAGCTGAATAAGAATCCTTGTAGTTAACAGTTTGTGCAACCATTGCAATGAAATAAGAAAATTTATCCTCTCACTTAAACACATATTGCTATTAGTACTTTTTCAAGGTATCCTGTAACAAATAAATAAACAAGAGTAGTTGTAAAATAAATTCAAAGGTTGTTGTTTTTTTTTTCATTTCAATATAGATACTAACATTTCACAAACAATGTTAATAGGGAGACAAAATCTGGGGACAAAGTTGTAGTAGCCTTGTTCTTATTTATATGAAGAGATGTGCATAATCTATTTACAGCATAATGAATTATAAAGTGTCTGACATGAGTTGATTTTTTGATACATCAAGTTTATAAACAAGGTCAGGTGTTTCTAATTGGATATTTGTAATTTTGAATACATCTTCATTTTATATATACACAGGTGATTTAAGTGTTGAAGAAAGCAGAGACTATCTATTCTCACTGTCTGTAAGTGCTATAAAGCAGACTTGCATCTTCATGTTCACTAGTCTGACAGCACATCCCTCCACATTACTGTGGCATAGAAAATTTCTCTGTATAAGATGGGTGGACCAATGACAACAGCAACTCACACTGAAGTAAATTAATGTTACATTGTCTGGGTCAGGAGTCAGGGTATTAATCAAAATGAGCAGAACAGCTATGAACAGAACTCATTTCTCTGAGGCTATTATCTCCCTCATTTTAATTCTAGGAGAAATGAATTAATCTGGAAGTCCTTTGTGAACTTTTGTTACATTATCCTCAAGTAAATTCCCCTACAAAGATGAGGTACTAAACACAAAATTCTCTACAAGATATAATACATGTGTTACATTATGAACAATATGCAGGCTGCTACTGTCAAAGCTAATTACATTAAGGCTATTGTGATTCTTTATTTCTACCATACTTTTATTATAAAAAGCATCACATTTTTATGAAGAATACTACATGATAATTTAAATGAAACTTAATTTCATTTCATTTTAGTATTCATATTTTAATCTTCAAATGAAACACACACAGAATAGATATTTACTTCTACTTTATAGCTAATTTTTTTGGTTAAATACAAAGACATGGACCTATGTTAAGTTTGCTAATCTCTCTCTACTCACTCTATAAAATGGTCACCACTGCATGATCTAAAATAACTTCTTCACACAAAATTTGACATTATTAGTCAAGTACCATATGTCCTTTATCAGATGATCCAATCTACTTCCACTACATATAAAGTTCCCAAATCGGAGCTGACATCCTGTCTGGATGACCTTATCTCAGCAAGTTTCTCTCATCAAAACTTCTGTTATGGATAGGAGGACAGGTATAACATGACAGAGGTATCTACTTAAATTTTATGATAAAAATGTTTATTGCAAATACTAGAACTTACTTCTACCATAATTTTTAATCCCTTTCAGATGGGCCACAGGTGAAAGGCTACATCATCACGTATGTTGATTTCCATTCAAAATTTTATTGAACTACTATTTCATGAATTTATGTCAATAACTTTGGTATCAAACTGTAGTTTATAATTCAAATTTTAGTATTATACATTACTCAATTTCTTAATTAAAAGAAATATTAAAAAAAAAATCAAAAAACAGTTAAACAACGATTTTTGTGTGTCACTGGTTTAAATTAGATGTTTGTGATGTCAAAATACTAAGACTACAGTTTCGTACAAATTAGGATCTCAAATTACCGATACTGACAAGCTATAATATAAAATAAAAACCTCTTATCTTTTCTATTTGCTAAGATATCAAACACAGTGGCACCCCCACAAACCTCTTTCCATTTTTGGAAATGCTCCCTTATATACACTATATACGACATGAATAACCAATCGAAAGCTCAGAATGTCCCCCTAGTGGCTTTCTTAGCCATTTTATTTTCTTAGGTTGCCATATTTTTCTTTTGAACCAAGATTTCAAGGACATAGGTTGTGTCTTTAGTCTGCTTGAAATTTCATATTTTTTTAGACTGAAATACAGCTTAGTTACTAAGCTTGATAAATTATAGTAGAGTTCTATGTTATTGATGTAGTAATTTATGATTTTTTAGTTATTGAATTGCATATATAAAACCTAAAAAAATTATTTCGTTTCATATCCTCCACGTGCAAAATTTTTAAAGGCTTAGCAACCTACGTTAAGCAGCAACCGAGTACATAGGCCGTAACTAGAAGAGATAATTGTTTTCTTTACTTCTTTATTTACTGTTCTATGTTTTAGGAAAAATAACCTTAAGAACTTATTTCAAAATAGCAATAACCTATATATATACATATATAATGTATAATTGAATTGTAACTGTATTTCACAAAATACTAGTTGACTAAAATACAGTCAAGACAAGTTACTTTGTACAGA